ATAATTGCTTTTATTCGACGATATCGGTAGAGAGAGAGAGAGAGAGAGAGAGAGAGAGAGCGTCGATTATTTTAATTCTTGGCTGGAAACGGCCGCGTCGATCCCGCACGAGATTTCGCCGGGCTTTTGTTTCCGTCGGACTGGCGATTTCGCGCCGTGAGCCGCTTTTGTTATCGACATTCGCGCACGGGACAATCGGAAATCGAGAACTGCCGAATGCATATGCGTACGGAGTGTCCCGAAGTTGTCGTTCCTCTCTATCAACCTGCAGATTCCGCGGCGAACTTGAAATTGAGTTTCCGACATGAGTTTGGCGTCAAACAATTTGTCGATTAAGATTCACTTTACAAAATTTCGCTGATTATATTGGAATCTATTAGTTCGTCGTCGTTTCAACGAAATTTTTTTATTAATAATAGCGAAACATCATATATCATTTATTCAGAGTATCTGCCATCGCTATATTTTTTTACACCTTTCGAATAATTATTTAATTCCGTGTCGATAAAATCTTTCAAGCAAATGGGAATCTTTCAAGCAATGGGATCTTTCATGATCCAACGAACTGTTGCAAACTCTCAATGATTAGAGGAAAATATGTTATCTTATTGATATACCTCCGATGAAGTTAATTAGTGAAAATTTATTTTATAAGTCTGCCACAACTCGACAATTATTTTCACATTTTTGTTACGTCGAAAAATTGACTTAAAAATCGGTAACACTGACAAATTCACATATAAGATCATATCGAAGATGTTAAGCGCACGCTGCAAGTATCTGATATTTTGAGAAATATCGGAAAAATTCCATTGAAAATTCCCGATAGAAGGGAGTCTATTCCGAATTCATCGAAGAAACCGAAGTTCAGCAACACTCTGTATGCAGGTGCGGGCGACGTTCTATGGTTCACCGCGATATAGCTGTTCGAGACTCGACTTCCAATGTGACGAGATGCGTGCACCAATGTCGATGCTATTTCATGCATTATCGTCATTCGGAGCGGCATAGAGATTACTGTCCACACGCGCGGGACTTTTACCGGCGCGTATTTATTGTCGTTCTTATCAAGCGCAATAAAAGAGATATCGGCGCGGGAGCGGCAAGTTCTCGAACTCCATTATGTGTTTACGGAAGTGTAAATATCGCTTACAGTCACGGAGAGCTTCCTTAGTAGGGGAGCTTTAGCAATCTCCCTTGGTTTCGAGCTCGCGGACGATTTATCGTGCATTTGCATTTCGCCGATACGCCTTATTTGTTACGATGCACCTAGAAACTACGCGTTCCCGTTTATTTAATCCGAAACACGTATTCTAGAAAGTCGCATTAAGAATAACAGAAGTTTTAAATCGCTAGTAAAAAAAGGCGCAATAATGGAGGAAAAAAAGTCAATGATTAAAAAGATTAAAAATATAAAGAGTATAAAAATCTATCGTGTAAATAAATCGTGAGTTCTATCATGTTCTTTTGGTATTTTTATAGAAACTTGTTTAAATAGGAGAACTAAACATATTTAGTTGCGTTAGATCGTACAAATACATGACCGAGCTCTCGTAGTAAAGTCGCGGAAAAAACTTGACAAGAAGCATTATAAACGCTGTATGTGATAAATTTCTTTAAACATACTCCCAGATTTTACGGATTTGTATTATCGCGAAAACAACCGCTGTCGCATCTTGTTGTTTTCATTCAGACTCGTCGCACGAGCAAGATTAAAATGATGCAAAATGAGAACGAGGGGGAAGGCGAATTTAGACGAGCGAATTTTCGCGTTGCGTCACCGCGACGTCCACGGATACTATTTATACCGCGCGGACAGGTACACCACATGAGCCGACGATTTATCCGATAGCAAACAACGACTCCGTCGTTGGACGCACCAACGGTGTTACATTTTGCACGTACATGCATGAAAGCCTTTGCAGTATCTCACAGTGAAATGTATGGACGATATTTTTTTAGAAACTCTGATCCCAGTCGGATTAAGAAAGAAATTTACGCGACGCTAGAAGTCCAAAAGCATGTGAGAAGAGTGAAAAAAATCCATATCTTTTAATTTAACACTAGTTTGCTTTATTTTTAGTTTTTAATACACGGAAAAAGGAGCTAGATAGCCATTGCAATGCAACTGAAATTTAGTTGCAAGATTTAATTTTTAGCTGTGGGAGCTAAAAGCTAGGTACAAAAAGAATTGACTAAATCTCAGTTGTATCATGTGAGCGGCTAATTTTTACCTGTGGACACTACTTCTTTTTTTCCATGTACTAGTTTAATATTAGTTCAATACAGTACCAATAAACATGTGCTACGTATGTTGTGAAAAATGCAACAGAAACAACGTTCTGAAAACGTTTCATCTTAAAAGTACTACGACATTTGTTCTATCAAGCCGAATTCAGATTCTTCCCCGTAAAGTTCAATTTTCTTTTCCCGTCCCGGAAAAAAATTCGTAGGACTGTCAATCACCCCCTTCGCACGCGATCATGTGTATCCGTAATATTACGTGTGCTGTCGCATCGTTTCACATATACGTTCGTAGAGGAAACGCGACGCACGCACCCGCTCCTTCTCCTCCCTCTTCCACCACTTCACGTGTCAATTTAACGGCTTCCTGCTCCGGCGTCGAGTTTCGCCGTACACGCACGTTTATCGACCGAAATGTTCCGCGCCTTTTGTACCGTGTACGCATGTATGTGTCTAAAATGTTGCAGCGGGTAAATAGCGAAACAGCAAATAGCACGGCGGTGAAGTGGCTAGCGAAATGAAGCGAACACGGCTACTTTGACGAGCGTTAAACACTCTTGTGAAAGTGCTCAGAGAAAACCCGTTACTGCCTCTTAAAGTGCAAAAAACGACATTAGCGATTTTTAACATCGGTACAGCGACTTTTCTTCGATTCCTCCGATATATGCGTTGTTGCAAGCGCGAATATCACAGTAATATTATTTATAATGTTATTATATAGTAAATGCAAGAGATGAAACGATTTATTATTATTTATAACAGGAGATGCTCGAGAGTGACAAACGAGAATTGAACAGACGTATGGATCTTCCTCAATTTCAACAGAAAGTTTAATCATTTTTATCGAGAGCGCCTACACAGAGAAAAAGGTTCCTTTGGATTTAATATACGTATTTATTTAACTTGGGTCTGTTTAATATAAATAGCATAATTCAAATATCATTTTGTTTGAATGAAAATGTTGTTTTACCAGAATAAACCATGTTGTTTGATAAAAAAGAACAGTATTATTAAAGGAAATACAAACTATATTTTTAAGGATAATACAAATAATATTTAATTTCCAGTGAAAAAATGTACCTCATTATATATTAAAGATTGTTTCACTGAAACAAAGAAGTGCTTTAATATTTTTCTGATATAGTATTACTATTTTGAAGTAATTTATTGCTTGTGACAAATATCATAATGTTTCAATGAAAATAAAAAAAAAATATATTATTCGACGTAGAGATATTTATTGTTTAAGAAATCAAATATTCCTCTGTTTGTTCTATTCCAATATAAATTTATTTCAATTAAAGAAATTGTTTTAAGGAAATTTTTGTTCTCCATGTATTAATTAAGTTTCTCATCTAGATGTTTACAGTGTTTCTCATGCTTAGAGTTTACAATATTTAGCTAGGTATTTATAATAAACGAGTTTAAGCCCGGAACCGATGTACCGGGAATGTAAAATTTCCGGGCGTTGTAAAATTTCAAGTACTTGGGTTTCGGTACTGAACAGCGCATGTACTAAGGTCGGAAGTTGAAAACAATTTTCATTGCGTTTTATACGAAAAGAACCGACTGCAAATCCATCGGGCAAAATTAAAAATTCAACATGATATCGATGGACCATTCCACATAATAGCGGAAATCCGTTCCAGATACGCGAAATTCAACAATACGAGATTTAATTCTCGGTGCATTTTTCGCGCAGAGGAGATAGCGTTTTAATATTGTTCCCTCCGGCGTAACTATGTCTAATTGACGGAGTGAAGTGCACGTGAACTTCGTCGACGGTGCGATTGTAAAATCGATGGCACGTTAATTGAACGCGAGACGAAAGCTTCGAGAAAGCTTATCGAGTGGCGGGGGAGAGCTTTACGGTCCGTCCGCACTTGAAGTTCTGTGTCCCATTACGTTCCTCCTTGTTTTGAACTTTCACATTTAAAAATATGTCCGCTAACTAACAATTAACTTATCGGCCAAATTAGTCCCGTCGGCGAAAGAACGCTCGAAATGAAACACCTATTAACGATCGCGAGACTCGACGTGTTATCCTCTCTTGTTTTTCTCATTTTCCTTTCGCGCGTTCGCTCGCTACGACCGCCGCCTTATCGACGCGGGTTATCTGCTGGCCTCTAGTATTTTTCTGTGCGTCATACTCCCTCGCGTACACCTCCTCTCGCCACCGCCAGAAATTCTATATAGCCATAACGAGCAACCGCCGGCAACCCATGCGATAGGCGTCGAATATCCACGCACGTTCGCTCGCCCGTGTATAGAATTTACCCCATTGTATAATATAATGACATCATACGTGCAACGTAGAGACAAATAGCTATCAATGGAGGGCGTATCGGGTATAATTCATTAAATTCCGAAGGTCTTAGAGAAGTGATTTATTGCCGGTATGTGATACTTTGTCGAGAAAAAATATATCTGCAACGAAGAGATTTAATTTAAGACGCGTAATATCGTGAATAATTTGAAATGTGTACATCCAAGAGTAAAAAATATAGTTCGTATTCTCGTGCTTTTCACACTCTCAGAAGTAGAGCGAAATCAATAATCGCCTAATAAAGGGAGGAGGAAGTAAGCTATGTTGACATAATAAACATATTTTTATCAGACTGAGAGATATCTCGGAGAGAAAGAGAGATCGGCGAGATATAAAGTTACAGGCGCAATGTTTCGCAATTATACATAATCGTTATCGTCGAATTCGTAGTCAAATGCACGACGCTATATGTATTCGTTTCATTCAATACCTGGAAAGACATCTTTGTTGTCGGGATTATACGGATGAATCCACCCGTTCTTCTGCTGTATGATGCACTGGAACATGATTTTCGCGGGTCTCTGTCTAGTTTGCGAAAGAGGTGATCCGTGAGATCCTGTCCGCCTTCCCGAGACCGGCCGTTCTTATCGACGACGACGAAAAGTACTTAATCACGCGCTCGCTATCGCGACTCGCGATCGCAATATCTCTCTCGACGAGTCAAGGACAGAGCTTCACATTTTAATCGATCTGTTGCTATTTCGAATCATTCCTCTTCGGTGGATCCTTTTTTTCTCCTCGGCTGCTTCCCGAAAGTTGTCGTTCTTACGCTCACCAGGATCTCCGATTGCGATGCTCCTAGAATTCCAAAAGTTTTCCTTCGAGAGAGTTTCCCCGCTGCGCTGCGATCCGACAGCGACTCGTAAAAGGATATCTCCTGCCCGTGTCTCACGCCATAATCCGAAGGAAAAAGGGCGGTCGAGTGAATGCGACAACTCTATGGACGCTTCTCTCTAAGTCGTTGAACCACCGCACGACGACGTTCCATCGAAGGCCACCGTTGCCGTTGTTACCGTCCCCAGGACGATCTCGTCTGCGAGATCTCGAGGACCGCGACGGTCCGGGCTCATTTTCCTCGCGAGAGAGAGAGGAGTCCTCTTCTCCGCCCTCTTTTATCGCCCATCGGGCCGTCGATCTCGTTCCGCCAGCGGAGTCTGTCCTTCCTCTTCCTGCGTATCCCTTCTCTCGGCCTTC